AGCTGGTTTACCCTAATCACACAGTCTCCATCTCTGAGGTGCAAGGGGAGAATAAGGGACAGATAGCTTTCCTCTTGACCCAGGCAGATCCTTTGTAACTCACCACGCTGGTGTGAGGAGTCTCTTGGAATCCCCTGGGGAAATCCAATGGTCTGTGTGGCTGAGACAAGGCCTGGTTCTGATGCCCAGGCTGCTGGCTGTCCCCTGTCCCGTGAGCCACAGCGAGGATACATTCTTGCTTTGGCCTTGGAGTGCTGATACGGGAAAGGCTGACAGCAAGGTAGCCATGTGTCTTCTCTCAGTTAACTCTTCTACTGGTCTTTGCCACCTTGGCCCGAGGTGCCTTTTCCTGTCCACTCAAGGTTGCCCACTGCCCTTGGGCGTCTGCCTCTGTTTCCTCCACTCTGCTTTGCTCTGCCCTCTAATTTGTTTCTGTAATGAGGAAAGGCATGCTTTTCCTGTGCCTGGGCACAAAGAGCACATTGAGACCATCTCTGGAAATGGCCTGTAGGATCTTGCACGGCAGGAGCTGGAGGAATCCAGGGAGGGATTTTATGTCCAAGACTTTATTTATATTTTTATTTGTTTGTTTGTGTGTGTGTGTGTGTGTGTGTGTGTGTGTTTATTTTGGCCTGGAGAATGCTTAAATACTTTTTTTTTTTTTTTTTAGAGCTAGAACTAAAACCCAGGGCTTCAAGCATGCCAGGCTAGCTAGCCCTCTACCATTGAGCCACACCCATAGCCCAATACTTTATTTTTATTAATGAAAAAGAGTGTTTATTCCATTGGACTGGTTAATTAATAATTGAGATTTTTTTTTATTTACCAAGAACTGTATTAGTTAACTATAAAACATGCATTTGTGTTTTTTACTGTGTGTTTATATGTACACGTGTGGTGGATGTGTATTGTGTGGTGTGTGCACCATGCATGTCCATGTGCCTGTATGTACATGCAGAGCCCGGTGGGGGTCATAGGTGTCTCTTGCAAGCCCAATGAATTCTCCTGTCTGTCCCAGCTCCGTAGGCCAGGGTACAGGCATATGTGTAAGCATGCCTAGCCTTTCACATGGATTTGGGGGTTTGAACTCAGGTCCTCATGCTTGTACAGCAAGTGCCCTTATCAGTGGCCCCACCTCCCCAGTTTCCATTTGTGTTTGCTCAGCACGTTTGACAGTTCTCAAACTTGTGAAAACAAATTCTAATTTGAATGTTGTGAAAGTTTAACATTTGGACTACCCTTCATAGCGTCGCACCTGTTTTTCTGTTCCTGGTCTTATCCTTAAAGGCCCAGACTATGTAAATAGATCAAGTTGTCTGCCTTAATGATTAATTGGAGTAAATTATTGTAGCTCTCCAGGTGATAACCAAATCATCAATGTGCTGACGAAGGAAGCTACAGCCTTGACTTCAGAATGACTCCTGGGGTCTGTGGGAACAGGGGAAAGGCAGGGTCTGACTTGGCATCGTGTGTCCTCGTTGGCAGTATGCTGGCCTCTGTCTCTCCCTTGGTGTTCTGGGAGAAGAGATTGGAGACCTCCCCCTCCCCGTCTAGTCACAAGCCTGCCGCCTGTGCACACAACCCGGCACTGTGTGATCCCCAACACCTGTTTCTTTTACCTCGAAGGTCCTGAGACGCCTGTTTGTACCTGTGATCTATCTCTCAGGGTATATTTATACACTTGAGGAATTTTAAGGTAAAAATGTATTGGGGTTCATGGAAAACTAGTGGAGGGGGTGATGAGAGTATGGGGAAGGCAGGCTCCCTCTCAAGCACTTGCACCTGTCCTCATCCCTATGAGGGGCACCTGCATTGGAGGGCAATTGAAGTCTGCAATGTCCTCTCTCCTTTCCCCAAATCCAGGGCGTGAAGCCTGAATACAGCAGCAGTTCTCAGTATGGGGGTTGAAACCCCTTTGGGGGTTGAACTGCCCTTTCACAGAGGCAGCAGATCAACTATCCTGCATATCAAATATTTACATTACAATTCAGAGCAGTAGCAAAATTACATTTATTGAAACGGCAACGAAAATAATTTTATGGTTGGGTGGGTTACCACTACACGAGGAACTGTGTTAAAGGGTCACAGCATTAGGAGGGATGAGAGCCACTGGAATAGAGACACAGAGAAGGGAGAGGGTTAGCTAACTGGAACTAGTGTACAGTTTGGTAGGAGGAAGTAGTTCTGAAGTTCTTGTTTGTTTTTGACATAAGATCTTACTGTGTAGCCCAGGCTGGTCTTGAACTTGTGATCCTCCTGTTTCAACCTCCAGACACATAGCCTAGTTCACTGTCACACAGTAAGGCAACTATGGCCTGTAGCAATTCATGATTTATTTCAAAAGAAACTAGAGAATAAGGGTTCTAAAGGTTTCCTGCAGATGGAAATGATAAATGTTTGAGGGGGTGGAAATGCTAATCACCTAGATGTAATCACTGCACACCTTACGCAAGTAGCAACTTATTATACTATACAAGTATGTAGACATACATGATGCATTGATTAGAAAAAGTTGCCAAAAATAAATTGAAAGAAAAATGGAAAAGCTGAATTGTAAAACAAAACAAAAACAAATCCCCAAGCGAGAACAGGATCGGGTTTTGACACTCATTTTGTGGTAAGCCTCGTGTGCACTAAAATGCAGGGCTGTTATTAAGCTAGAATATTCGTTTGCTCCTTTTAGTTTATTTCCATGTGTGAGATTGTCCAGTGACTGTTTCCCACCAAGGCTGCTGCAAGGGTCTTCAACAGTAGGAAGGACAAATGGGACATCCAGAATGAAAAACCTTTCAAACCACCTGGCCACAATCAACGTGCTTTATCTGCCTGTGCCGCCTTCCCCCAGGGCTCATGGTCACGTACAACTTTGAAGACTGATGATACTCAGTGTAAGGTTATTGTTTAAAATGTCCAGGAGGTGCCTGCTCCTCTTGCCAACCAGTGGCCAGCTGTGCCCTTCACTCTCCATCTCATCTGTCCAGACTCTTAAGGGGCATTTTAGTGCATCTGTTAGGGCCCACTAAAAACTTTCTGTACCATGGCAAAGTGGGAAAGTGAGTGTGAACAGCCAGTGGGGACATCTGCACGTGAGAACACCAGTTGACAGTGCCCGGAGATGAATTCTAAGTAGACATTAAGGAAAACTGAGGCCACCTGTGAGCTGTGGCTGTTGACCGGGGTGAAGGGTGGCATGCAGGTTTCCATGAAGCTCCTTCTGGGGAACAGGTGTCCCTCAACTCTGTTGCTTTGAAATGAAGCAGAGTGACTCTTTGCAAATTTCAAATCAGATGGGTTGGCCATATTCAAACCACTTGGGCTTAGCAAGTATGGGGAGATCAGAAAGTGGGCATCGCCCTTGTTCTGCCTTTCTAGTGTTGGCGAATGTGGGTATGAGCCCATAGATTTCTGGCTCGGGTTTGTTTATTCTGTTCAAGTGCAAAGGCAATGCCATCTCAGACAGACCCTCCCCCATCTTTGTTCTGATCTGGTTCCTCTGTGAGGTTTAGAAGGCGGCTGCAAGCAGAAAATTTTGCAGGGGGCTGGGGGAAGAGAGGAAGGAAATGAAGAGACATCCTTGCCTTAAATTTTACAATTTTATGATGACATATTTTGCTTCCCGGTGCCTTCCATTTTATCACTTACAATTTTAAAAGGTGGCTTCTATATTTTTCACAAACTCAGATTTCTCCAGATAGGTGAATAAGTAAATCACTACTTGTCCATCTATCTAGATTTGGAAAAGTGCTGAGGGAGACAGGAAAATGACTATGGTGTACACCTACCATTAACATTTTAGTTCTTCCTTGCTCGTTTACTTACTTGCTTCCCTGAAAGCACTTGTTCACCTTCTGTTTCTCCCAATTTGGGACCTCGCCAGGTATACAGGTTTATAGTTAGGTCTCTCTGTATTACGCAGTCGACAGGATTCTCAGGGTTGAATCCTCCTTGCCATTGGCCAGCCCTCTCTACACTTGGAGATTTTGCTGGCATGTTGGGCAGCATTACTGTTCACAACCCCCCATCCAGAGACCCAGCATGTACAAGTTGTCCATTTCTCCTCCTGGGCTGATCAGTCACTTTTACAAACACTCAGCACGAGTATGGTGTGAGTGTTCTTGCCCCATGAAGAATATGGCTGAGCCCTCTCCGTCTAAGCCGCTGCTAAAATGGAAATTACCAATCTGTTTTACATATTTGTGTGCCATTCATATCTACCGGTTGTGTGGGTCAGAGACATTTCCACATTCAGAGACCTGGTCAGCTCTCACTTAGCAGCCTTCAACCTTCAGAGGTGGACTCTGTAAGTGAACATAATAGATGTTTGTCCAGGTAAGATATTATGGAGGAATGGTTTACCTAAAAAGTCTTCAGAGGAATCCTGCATGGTCACTAATTGCCCTTCCCTGCTCTGAGGAAAGATCAAATTAAAAGCCTGCATGTGTGTTGGGTCCTTTTCCTTACACTTTTCTTCTTTTGCGTTTAGCTCTAATGCTTCTGTGCCTGTTTCTGTTTATGGCCCCTTCTTCTCAACTCTCGGCACAGTTGGCTAGAAATGCTTATCTCACAGGACTCAACCAAGCCTGTTTCCTTAGCCCCACATATCATTAGGGAAGTGAGGTGCCTTTCATGCAGGTCTGTGTCCTCACCCTGCCGAGCTCTCCATATCCCTCATTACTAGGTGAAGGCTTCATTCGTTCATGGAGTGTGTGGCACTCCATGCTTCTCTTAGGAATGGGTTTTTATTTCTTGATGTTCAGCCTCAGGTACCTGATTAACTGTGGGGATGAATAAAGGAGCGTTTCATTTGATGTCTGGCCCCTCAAGCTCATTCTCTGACTCCCATATGGTGCCACTGGTGGCTGGGAACTCAGGAGATGATCTGCAGGCTTTGGGTTCATCCATGGCCACTTGAGACTGACCATTTTCCTTGGGGCCTTTCATGGTATGGTTTCATAAACCAGTGAGCCAAGAACTGCTCAAATGTCTCTATCATTTTCTAGAAAAGAAGACAAGGAAGGGCAATTCATCTCGGGACTGGAGGGAGCGGAGGAACGCCATTAGGCTCACCAGCGAGCACACGGTAGAGACCTTGGTGGTGGCCGATGCCGACATGGTGCGGTACCACGGGGCAGAGGCGGCACAGCGATTCATCCTCACCGTCATGAACATGGTGAGTGCACAGAAAGAGCCTGTCATTGGTGGGTTCAGATTTCTCCATCAGGGGAGCTTGGGAGGCAGGCATGGCACCCTTATCTCTGAGACAAGGAGGCAGCTGGCTTGGGGTCACAGCCTGTGATCCCGAAAGCGGGTGCAAAGAAGGGAGAAGGTCCGATTCTCAATCCTGCCTGCTGTGATGTTTTGGTGCATGGTTTTACTCATTGATGGGACTGCTTATGACCACACTTTCCAAGATCCTTGGTACATGCAAGAGCTGTTCCAAGTGACAGTCGTGCTAGAGGGAGAATTAGCTCCTGCTCTCATCAAGATGAGTCTACTTGGAGAAACCAAATCACACCTTAATTGAGACAATAGACAACCACATGCTGCAAGAACTTGTTTGAATGGTCTGAGTTATCTATTGATAATGCCAAGAAAGAGGTCGTGAATCCAAGTATGTACCCAGGGAATAGAGGGAAAACTTCTTTACACAATGGATCGATGAGGGAGAGGCTACCTCCTCACATATGAAACACCAAAGGCTCTTACTTCAAAGGCATCCACGCTCGCTCCACCTAGCTGTCTGCTTCCCTAGCAAGTGCTTTTGAAGGCCTTCACAAACCTTTAACATTGTGTTCTGTGCCGGGGCTACAAATGCAGCACACAATGTGGTCCTTCCCTTGAGAGGTCCTAGTCTTAGCAGGCGGAGCATCCTTCTCACAGACATCTGCTGGGACCCCCCCCAAGCGCAGGTGGAGGGCTACTGGTGATCAGCCTTTGGCATGAGGCTTCAGGAAAGAGCAAACCTTGCTTAGAGAGGGAGGATGTGCTGACGGGGTGAGGGTAGTGGAGGGTCATAGTGCGGTTACAGCAGGTGCAGGGCTTAAAGGTACACCAGCTCCTTTCAGAGGGAGGTAAGGTGATACAGCTGTAGCAGGGACCACAGGAGCCTTGATGGAGAGTACAGATGTGGACACTGGGGCTTGTGGAGGTGAGCAAGAGGTTCTGAGGGGTAGGTCTCGACCCAGGAGACTGTGGCCACCCAAGTGTAGGAGAGCCTCCTGTTCAGCTCAGTGTTTGGAGGAGTCAGCAGCTGCATGCTGGGTAGATTGATGTGAGGAGTGGCAAGTGCATACTAATGTGTGTGGGAAGAGGGTCTGAGCCTATGTGTGGGGGTGGGGGAGTTGAGTGGAGGAATACAGGGGCCAGATGTGGAAAGACTAGCAAGGACTGGTGAGTGTCAGTGGGAGAGAAATCCCAGCTTACCTGGTCTTATATGAGTGCCTGGATATGGTGGAGCCACTGGCTGGGAGAAGGAGGAACAGAGCATTTGGAGTTTCCCAGTGGACAAGCTCATCTTGTGAGAGATTGGGCTAGAAGGCTTGGCTAGAAGGAGGTACTTGAGGCTTCTCAGCCTGAAGCTGGTACCTGAAACCTTAAGAGTGGGCAACATTGCCCAGATGCAGCATCTCCTATGAAGTGACAGTTTAGGGGTACAGTCACCCTGAGGGACTGTAGAAGAACCCATGAGGAGGTTGTCCTTAAGGAGAGGGGTGATCAGAACAGGAAGCTGTTTAACAATGCCAGGTGGTGGGTAAAAGGTTTAGAGTACAATAGTGCATACTGAAACAAAGATTGTTCTTTGGGGCCACAAGATTTATTGAACTCTAGAGAGAATGGACTACTTTAAGGCATTTGGGGCCGAGGATGGGAGATGACATCCCTCCTTTCCCAGAATCTATGCAGTCTTGGGGGTTGGTACAATCGGGATGTCTTGGTCTAGAGCTTGTACAGATCCCTGGCTATCTCAGAATGTCTCTGCTCTCATTTGCCTGAGGGGGTAGAACCTGGATGCTTCAAAGGAAGCCAGCTGTGACAAGATGGCTACTTTGGTGGCTCCCAACTTGCATGTTGGAGGATGGTAGGAGGAGGGGCGATTATCATGGTCCTCATGAGTGATAAAATATGCAGGTATCTCGTTGTTCGCATCATGGTATCATGGTATCATGGAGAAGGATGCTTTGGGCTCTAGAGGTGGCCTGGAAGGGTCCATGGGAAAGGCAGGACACAGAGGCTAGAAGGACCTAATGATCCTCCCTTCTGGAATCTTTACTCTGACCGTATTGTAACTGGGGCTGAGGCCCTGGAAGGCTGACAGGCCCTTCACAAAGCTCACCACTTGCCCCTGTGGGGACAAGAGACCACAGCTTATTTCCAAGAGTCTGAAGTAAGTTCAAGGGCAAGGAGGCTCTGGGCATCAGTAGGCTCTCAAGGTATATCTTGGGAAGGGTCATGACATTAGGCCCAAACCCTTCCCCTTGTCTAGCCACAGGAAAATATGTGTCTATGACACTGTCCCACTGTGGTGGTCCTGCTGTGTGAGACTCCTATCCCAGGCTGCCTTTGTCATTTGTGAGAAGCCTTGCCTCTCTTGCCTTTACCCTGACCCTCAAATGTGCTCTGCTCTGCTCTGGGGGAGTGGTTCCAGGGACACCTCAGAGCATTGTTGAATTGCTGGTTGTACCCATGCCTTTGCTCATGGGGCAGGTAGTCATGAGGCATTGATAGCTGCTGGATATGAACTGACTTAGACATAGCAAGCTCTTTAATCAGAACTGGGAAAGAATGGGGTGATAGGAAGAGTGACACTCCTTCACCATCCCTCCTGGGGCATGAAGACTATAGGACAGAGGACTGAGAGGCCTCAGTCCTCACTACCACAGCATCTTACACTAAGCTGACCACGGCTCACAGTCCTGCTCTTTAGGCCAAGCATTTTTAATTTGAATTTTGAGGTCTTTGGAGAAGGTCTAAAACCTACTAAGGAAAATTGCGCTTTGTAAGCGATGTGAGGTGCTGATGCTCATTTCTGTGAGTTGCCTCTGTGTGTAATTTTTGGGCTCGTAGAGGCCAAAAGCAAATGAGACCCACATGTGAGGGCGTCACTCATTTTAACCCTTTCCTGCTGTGCTGGTCACAGTACATGGAAACCAATTTACCCCCACACAATGTCTTGTTTTAAGCAAGATCAACCCCTGCCGCTACCATGTCCCTTCTTCAGTCCTCTACATCCTGGTTTATGAAATCCCCAGATTTCTTTCCTGCCCATGGCTGTTGTGGAATAGGGGATCTGAGCTGGTGAGACACCTGGTAGGCCTGGAGGAAGGGAGGGGATTGTGGCCCAGATTGGGTCCCCTCATTACAGTTTACCTAGGAATGGCAAGCAGGAACAGGCCCCTGGAGCTCATCTCTCTATCTCTAGATTTGTTCTCTGGGGTTTCAGGACTGAAGCAGCTGACTCGTCAGGTTCCTTGGATTGGAGAAAAACCCCCTTGGGTTGGTGGTCCCCATCATTCATACGTGAGCTGTGGAAAATGGCAGCCCTGGTGCCTGGCAATTATCCCTCTTGTCCGCCTGCTTGGGTCTCTGTGGGCAGAGATACTGCACCCCACTATGTCATACCCATCCTCCTAAAGCAGAACCCAGTCAGGTCCCATCAGTGGCAAAGGAGACAATCAAGTTTCCTAAGCTAGGAGAATTTGTTGTCTGGCATTTGTTCATGTTTTTCCAGCATCTCTCACAAGATGTGTTTGATCAGCGCTAGCCAGTGTTCCATGAGCGCTAGCCAGTGTTCCATCAGTGCTAGACTGTGGCCTGAAGATTCTTGTTGGAGAAGAGCAGATGCTAAGTTGAACTTCAGCCCTGACAACAACAGGGTGTTTTCTTTCTTTCTTTCTTTCTTTCTTTCTTTCTTTCTTTCTTTCTTTCTTTCTTTCTTTCTTTCT